AAGCATGCGACCGGACACAAGCATGCGACCGGACACAAGCATGCGTCCGGACTCAAGCATGCGACCGGACACAAGCATGCGTCCGGACACAAGCATGCGTCCGGACACAAGCATGCGTCCGGACACAAGCATGCGTCCGGACACAAGCATGCGTCCGGACACAAGCATGCGTCCGGACACAAGCATGCGACCGGACACAAGCATGCGTCCGGACACAAGCATGCGACCGGACACAAGCATGCGTCTGGACACAAGCATGCGTCCGGACACAAGCATGCGTCCGGACACAAGCATGCGTCCGGACACAAGCATGCGTCCGGACACAAGCATGCGACCGGACACAAGCATGCGTCCGGACACAAGCATGCGATCGGACACAAGCATGCGTCCGGACTCAAGCATGCGTCCGGACACAAGCATGCGACCGGACTCAAGCATGCGTCCGGACACAAGCATGCGTCCGGACTCAAGCATGCGACCGGACTCAAGCATGCGTCCCGACACAAGCATGCGACCGGACACAAGCATGCGTCCGGACACAAGCATGCGTCCGGACACAAGCATGCGACCGGACACAAGCATGCGTCCGGACTCAAGCATGCGTCCGGACACAAGCATGCGTCCGGACACAAGCATGCGTCCGGACACAAGCATGCGTCCGGACACAAGCATGCGTCCGGACACAAGCATGCGACCGGACACAAGCATGCGTCCGGACACAAGCATGCGTCCGGACACAAGCATGCGACCGGACACAAGCATGCGTCCGGACACAAGCATGCGATCGGACACAAGCATGCGTCCGGACTCAAGCATGCGTCCGGACACAAGCATGCGACCGGACTCAAGCATGCGTCCGGACACAAGCATGCGTCCGGACACAAGCATGCGACCGGACTCAAGCATGCGTCCGCACACAAGCATGCGTCTGGACACAAGCATGCGACCGGACACAAGCATGCGTCCGGACACAAGCATGCGTCCGGACACAAGCATGCGTCCGGACACAAGCATGCGACCGGACACAAGCATGCGTCCGGACTCAAGCATGCGTCCGGACACAAGCATGCGTCCGGACACAAGCATGCGTCCGGACACAAGCATGCGTCCGGACACAAGCATGCGTCCGGACACAAGCATGCATCCGGACACAAGCATGCGACCGGACTCAAGCATGCGTCCGGCACAAGCATGCGACCGGACACAAGCATGCGTCCGGACACAAGCATGCGTCCGAACGCAAGCATGCGTCCGGACACAAGCATGCGTCCGGACACAAGCATGCGTCCGGACACAAGCATGCGACCGGACTCAAGCATGCGTCCGGACACAAGCATGCGTCCGGACACAAGCATGCGTCCGGACACAAGCATGCGACCGGGCACAAGCATGCGTCCGGACACAAGCATGCGTCCGGACACAAGCATGCGTCCGGACACAAGCATGCGAATAGACACAAGCATGCGTCCAGACACAAGCATGCGTCCGGACACAAGCATGCGTCCGGACACAAGCATGCGTCCGGACACAAGCATGCGTTCGGACTCAAGCATGCGTCCGGACACAAGCATGCGTCCGGACACAAGCATGCGTCCGGACACAAGCATGCATCCGGACACAAGCATGCGACCGGACTCAAGCATGCGTCCGGACACAAGCATGCGTCCGGACACAAGCATGCGTCCGGACACAAGCATGCGACTGGACACAAGCATGCGTCCGGACACAAGCATGCGTCCGGACACAAGCATGCGACCGGACTCAAGCATGCGTCCGGACACAAGCATGCGACCGGACTCAAGCATGCGTCCAGACACAAGCATGCGTCCGGACACAAGCATGCGACCGGACACAAGCATGCGTCCGGACACAAGCATGCGACCGGACTCAAGCATGCGTCCGGACACAAGCATGCGTCCGGACACAAGCATGCGACCGGACTCAAGCATGCGTCCGGACACAAGCATGCGTCCGGACACAAGCATGCGACCGGACACAAGCATGCGCCCGGACACAAGCATGCGACCGGACTCAAGCATGCGACCGGACTCAAGCATGCGTCCCGACACAAGCATGCGTCCGGACACAAGCATGCGTCCGGACACAAGCATGCGACCGGACTCAAGCATGCGTCCGGACACAAGCATGCGTTCGGACACAAGCATGCGTCCGGACACAAGCATGCGACCGGACTCAAGCATGCGTCCGGATACAAGCATGCGTCCGGACACAAGCATGCGTCCGGACACAAGCATGCGACCGGACACAAGCATGCGTCCGGACACAAGCATGCGTCCGGACACAAGCATGCGTCCGGACGCAAGCATGCGTCCGGACACAAGCATGCGTCCGGACACAAGCATACATCCGGACACAAGCATGCGACCGGACACAAGCATGCGTCCGGACACAAGCATGCGACCGGACACAAGCATGCGTCCAGACACAAGCATGCGTCCTGACACAAGCATGCGTCCGGACAGAAGCATGCGACCGGACACAAGCATGCGTCCGGACATAAGCATGCGTCCGGACACAAGCATGCGACCGGACTCAAGCATGCGTCCGGACACAAGCATGCGTCCTGACACAAGCATGCGTCCGGACAGAAGCATGCGACGGGACACAAGCATGCGTCCGGACATAAGCATGCGTCCGGACACAAGCATGCGTCCGGACACAAGCATGCGTCCGGACACAAGCATGCGTCCGGCCAGAAGCATGCGACTGGACACAAGCATGCGTCCGGACATAAGCATGCGTCCGGACACAAGCATGCGACCGGACTCAAGCATGCGTCCGGACACAAGCATGCGTCCTGACACAAGCATGCGTCCGGACAGAAGCATGCGACAGGACACAAGCATGCGTCCGGACACAAGCATACGTCCGGACACAAGCATGCGACCGGACACAAGCATGCGTCCGGACACAAGCATGCGACCGGACACAAGCATGCGTCCAGACACAAGCATGCGTCCTGACACAAGCATGCGTCCGGACAGAAGCATGCGACCAGACACAAGCATGCGTCCGGACATAAGCATGCGTCCGGACACAAGCATACGACCGGACTCAAGCATGCGTCCGGACACAAACATGCGTCCTGACACAAGCATGCGTCCGGACAGAAGCATGCGACGGGACACAAGCATGCGTCCGTACATAAGCATGCGTCCGGACACAAGCATGCGTCCGGACACAAGCATGCGTCCGGCCAGAAGCATGCGACCGGACACAAGCATGCGTCCGGACATAAGCATGCGTCCGGACACAAGCATGCGACCGGACTCAAGCATGCGTCCGGACACAAGCATGCGTCCTGACACAAGCATGCGTCCGGACAGAAGCATGCGACGGGACACAAGCATGCGCCCGGACATAAGCATGCGTCCGGACACAAGCATGCGTCCGGACACAAGCATGCGTCCGGACACAAGCATGCGTCCGGACACAAGCATGCGACCGGATTCAAGCATGCGTCCGGCACAAGCATGCGACCGGACACAAGCATGCGTTCGGACTCAAGCATGCGTCCGGACACAAGCATGGGTCCGGACACAAGCATGCGTCCGGACACAAGCATGCATCCGGACACAAGCATGCGACCGGACTCAAGCATGCGTCCGGACACAAGCATGCGTCCGGACACAAGCATGCGTCCGGACACAAGCATGCGACTGGACACAAGCATGCGTCCGGACACAAGCATGCGTCCGGCCAGAAGCATGCGACCGGACACAAGCATGCGTCCGGCCAGAAGCATGCGACCGGACACAAGCATGCGTCCGAACATAAGCATGCGTCCGGACACAAGCATGCGACCGGACTCAAGCATGCGTCCGGACACAAGCATGCGTCCTGACACAAGCATGCGTCCGGACAGAAGCATGCGACGGGACACAAGCATGCGTTCGGACATAAGCATGCGTCCGGACACAAGCATGCGTCCGGACACAAGCATGCGTCCGGACACAAGCATGCATCCGGACACAAGCATGCGACCGGACTCAAGCATGCGTCCGGCACAAGCATGCGACCGGACACAAGCATGCGTCCGGACACAAGCATGCGTCCGAACGCAAGCATGCGTCCGGACACAAGCATGCGTCCGTGTCAGATTATTATGGCTGATGCATGTTTGTAGGCTATAGTGGGGTAGCACTTATGGGGTACAGTTTGCTAGGGTTGTATTTGTACCCAACTCTGACTTAGTCAATTCATTCCTGTTCTGTTAGTTTCACATGGTATAGAGCGGGTCCCTCCTAAGGACCGTTCTTTGGGCCCACCCACGATTTTTTTTTTCCTGCCCGGAGCGCGCCCTATTCTCCCCGAGGCGCGCTCCCCCTAGTGCGCGTCGAGCTGCCCTTGTGGCGCCCCGAGAGTCGCGCGCGCGACTCATTTTTTTTCGCGCGCGCGGCCCAGGCCCCACTTCGCGCGGCCCTTACAGCCGCGCCGCGCCGCCCTCTCTGCTCTGCCGCGCCGCGCCGCCCTCCAGACGGCCGCGCGGCCTCTTCGTCGCTGCAGCAGGCCCCCCCCCCCCCGCTGCACCTCTGTCGGCCCCGCAGCCGCCTTACCTGACGGCCGCCGCCTCACCTGACGGCCCGCCGCCTCGACTTCTGGCCCGCCACCTCACCAGACGGCCCTGCCGCCTCACCTGACGGCCCACCGTCTCACCTGCTGGCCCGCCACCTTACCTGACGGCCCCGCCGCCTCACCTGACGGCCCGCCGCCACCTTACCTGACGGCCCCGCCGCCTCACTTGACGGCCCGCCGCCTCACCTACTGGCCCGCCACCTGACCTGACGGCCCCGCCGCCTCACCTGACGGCCCGCCGCCTGACCTGCTGGCCCGCCACCTCACCTGACGGCCCGCCGCCTCACCCGCTGGCCCGCCACCTGACCTGACGGCCCCGCCGCCTCACCTGCTGGCCCGCCACCTGACCTGACGGCCCCGCCGCCTCACCCGACGGCTCGCCACCTCACCTGCTGGCCCGCCACATGACGGCTCCGCCGTCCCCTGTCCCGGCCCCGCAGCTGCACCCTGACGGCCCCGCCGAGCCGCCCAGCAGCAGCCGAGCCGCCCAGCCGCAGCCGAGCCGCCCAGCAGCAGCTGAGCCGCCCAGCAGCAGCCGCGCCGCCCAGCAGCAGCCGAGCCGCCCAGCCGCAGCCGAGCCGCCCAGCAGCAGCCGAGCCGCCCAGCCGCAGCCGAGCCGCCCAGCAGCAGCTGAGCCGCACAGCAGCAGCCGAGCCGCCCAGCAGCAGCCGAGCCGCCCGGTACCCGTGCCGCCCGAGCCGCCCGACCCAGCCCGAGCTGCCTGCTGCTGTCCTACCCGACTCTCCTAGCCCGGTGAGACTTTCAGCTGCTGCCATGGCCACCCCCAATGTTCTTACTTTTGACGCTGAGGGGAGGGCCATTGACTTTGCCGTCTGGATTGAAGACCCGCAGCTGTACTTACTGTGTGATGCGATAGATGAGGTCTCTCTCTTTGACTTTGTCTCTGGCACTGTCCCTGCCCCGCCTGCTGATGCTGACTCTGCTGCTCGCTCCAAGTGGGCGACCCGCGATGCTGCTGCACGTCTTGCTGTGCGTCGCCACCTCCCTTCCTCTAAGCGTGCCCACTTTAGTCAGTGCAAGACCGCTCAGGCCTTGTACGACGCTGTAGTTGCACGCTACTCCTCCCCTTCCTCCGCTACCCTTAGCCGCCTCATGCTACCGTTTCTCTTCCCTGACCTCGCTTCCTTTCCCACTGTTGCTGACCTCGTTACCCACCTCCGCGCTAGTGACACCCGCTACCGCGCTGCCCTTCCTGCTGAGTTCCGCGCTGCCAACCCTCCTCCCATGTACATCACTCTCTACTTTCTCGTCACCCGTCTCCCTGAGTCCCTTCGTGTCGTTAGGGACCAGTTTCTCTCTGTCTGTCCCACCACTCTCACTGTCGACCTCCTTGAGGAGTCCCTGCTAGCGGCTGAGAAGAGTATTGTCGCTGTAGGGGCCTCTCGGGGTGACCCTCGCACCCCCATCTTTGAGGGGTGTGGTCCTTCCCCCCTGCTGCCCTCTGTAGCCTCTGCCGCTGCGGCCGACCTCGCTGGTTTTGAGTCGGTCGGCGCGGCGTCTGCCCCCAGCGGCAGACGCCGCTCTGGCAAGGGCAAGGGGGGCAAGGGAGCGGGTGGAGCTAGAGGGGGCGGTGGAGGAGGCGGTGGGGGTGGAGGGGGGAGTGGGGGTGGCGGTGGGGGTGGTGGCGGGAGTGGAGGTACTGGTGGCGGCGGTGGAGGCGGAGGTGGCGGTGGAGGTGGTAGCGGAGGAGGCGGTGGGAGCGGTGGGAGCGACGGTCCTGGTGGGGGAGGTGGCGGTGGAGACGGGGGTGGCGGTGGAGGCGGGGGTGGCGGTGGAGGCGGGGGTCGGAGTGGCTCGTCCCAGCGGAGCAGCTCTGGGGGTGGTCAGCGCCAGCAGCAGCAGCAGCAGCAGCAGCAGCAGCACCAGCAGCCGCAGCAGCAGCAGCGCTCTCGCACCGTCCCCGGCCCTCAGCAGCTCCGTGAGTGGTACTTGCAGCGTCAGCGCGGTGGTGCGCTTGGTCCCTGCCCCTACGTTCTTCGCACCGGTGACCGTGCAGGGGAGAGGTGTGGAGGCGCCCACACAGCCCGTCGCTGCTTTGGCCGCCTGACCGACGCCTGGCGTCAGCAGTTTCCGGAGGCCGCTGAGATCCCCCGCTGGGGAGAGCTGTCTAGGGCTGGAGTAGCTATTTATGATCTTGACTTTGATGCTATTCTCTCTGCTATGTATGCTGTGACTGGTAGTGATGAGGATGACTGTTACCGGTGTTTCCCGCCCGACCCGGGCATTGGTACTGCCGCGTCAGGTACTAGTGAGGCTGCTGCTCTAGGTGCCAGTACGTCTGTGCGCTCAGGTGCTGGTGAGTCCGCCCTCTCAGGTACTGTGTCGGCTTCGGCCTCTCACACCTTCACCCTTGACTCTGGAGCTTCTCGCTCCTTCTTTAGGGACCGCACCACTCTCACGCCGCTGAGTCGACCGGTTGCGTCTGGCTGACCCCTCTGGGGGACCTGTCCTGTCTCGCTTCTCCACTGTCCTCCCGTGTCCGGCGGCCCCCTCTGGCACCCTGACTGGTCTCTACCTCCCCTCGTTCTCGACGAACTTGGTGAGTGGTGCTGACCTCCAGGATGCAGGTGTCCACCAGTTCACCCCTGCTCGTCAGCGGGTGACCCACTGTACGGAGGCGGATACAGGTCGTCACCTGGCTACGTTTACACGTCGGCCAGGGTCAAGCCTGTACACACTGACCACTACTTCTCCTCCAGGTACTGCGTCTGGTAGGGTCCCCTCGTCTGGTCAGGTGTTTTCTGCAGCGTCCAGGTCTGGTCCTGAGTCTGCCCCCTGTTTGTGTCGTCGTCTGTCTCACGAGACCCTCCTCTGGCACCACCGCCTTGGCCACCCCTCTCTGCTCCGGCTCAGAGGCATGGCCTCACGGGTACTTGTGTCTGGTCTTCCCCAGTCCCTCCCTCCCTTTCCTCCGGGCCCTGGCCCTGCCTGTGTCCCCTGTGTCGAGGGGCGCCAGCGTGCTGCCCCTCACTCCTCCCAGTTTCCTCCGACAGAGGCCCCGTTGCAGACGCTTCACATGGACGTGTGGGGCCCAGCCCGCGTCCGTGGACAGGGTCAGGAGCGCTACTTCCTGCTGGTGGTTGACGACTACTCGCGTTACACCACAGTCTTCCCTTTGCGCAGCAAGGGTGAGGTCACTGCGGTGTTGATCGACTGGATCCGCGCAGCTCGTCTCCAGCTTCGGAGGAGCTTTGGCTCTGACTTCCCTGTTTTGCGTCTGCACTCGGACAGAGGCGGAGAGTTCTCCTCTGGCCTCCTGAGTGCCTACTGTCGTGCGCGAGGCATCCGTCAGACCTTCACGCTTCCGGACTCACCACAGCAGAATGGGATTGCTGAGCGCCGCATTGGCATGGTCATGGACGTCGCTCGTACGTCCATGATGCATGCAGCTGCTCCCCATTTTCTGTGGCCGTTTGCGGTCAGGTACGCTGCGCACCAGATCAACCTCCACCCCAGGGTCTCTCGACCGGAGACCTCCCCAGCCCTGCTGTGGACGGGGAAGGTTGGCGATGCGTCGGCGTTCCGGGTCTGGGGATCTCGGGCGTTTGTTCGCGACCTGACTGCGGACAAGCTGTCCCCTCGTGCTTCTCCCTGCGTCTTCCTGGGGTTCCCCCCCGACGCCCCTGGGTGGCAGTTTTACCACCCCACCTCTCGACGTGTTCTGTCCTCCCAGGACGTCACGTTCGACGAGTCGGTACCCTACTACCGCCTCTTCCCCTACCGCACTCCGTCCCTCCCCCCTCCCCCGCTCTTCTTGGTACCAGGTCCCCCCCCGGTAGTCCCCCTCCCCCCTCAGGGTCCTGCCCCTTCAGGTGTGTCCCAGGTAGACGCGGTCGAGCCTGTCGAGGTCACTGGTGACTCTGGTGCTGCTGCGGGAGCTGAGCCTGGAGGTGCGGAGTCTGGGGGTGCTGAGCCTGGGGGTGCTGTGCCTGGGGGTGCTGAGTCTGGGGGTGCTGAGCCTGGGGGTGCTGTGCCTGGGGGTGCTGAGTCTGGGGGTGCTGAGCCTGGGGGTGCTGAGCCTAGGGGTGCTGAGCCTGGGGGTGCTGAGCCTGGGGGTGCTGAGCCTGGGGGTGCTGAGCCTGGGGGTACTGTGCCTGGGGGTGCTTCGTCTCGCCGGGAGCCACTCTCCCCACAGGAGCTGCGTGAGTGGTTTACCAGGCGCTGGAGGCGTGCTGCTGGTGCTGGTGGTTCTTCGCCTGCAGTAGGTACTGCTGCCGCGCGTCCCGACGGTGCTCGTACTGTGGGTGCTGGAGCTGCTCGGTCTGAGGGTTCTCCTGGAGCTGGTGCTGCTGAGGGTGTTGGCGCTGAGCCTGCCGCTGGTGGTCCGACTGACAGTGCTCCTGGTGCTGCTACTGGGGGTTCTGGAGCTTCTGGAGGTGCTGCTGGAGGTGCTGCTGGCGTGGGTGCTCCTGACGGGGTGGCTGGTGCTGTTCCTGCTGTTTCTGGTGTCGCCGTGCGGCCCCGACCGTACTTCGTTCCGCTCCTGCAGCAGGTTCTTAGTCTTGCACCTCCTCCTGCTCCCTTAGAGGGTCCACAGCCTGTTCGGTCACAGCCACAGCTACAGCCTGCCTCCCCTTTGCCTGCTCCTTCTCCCTACGCTGGTCCGACTGGAGGTCTTACTGAGCGTCGTGAGCCTGCGTCTCGTCCTGCGTCGCCTGTTCGTACTGAGCGCGCTAGTGGTCGCGGGTCGCGTCAGCGTCCTCCTCCTGTCCCTGGCACGCACCGGATGTCACTGCGTCCGTCCACTGCTCCTCTGCGTGCCCCTTTGCCTTCTCCTCCTCCTTCCTCTCTTCCTGCTCTTGCCGACCCGGAGTCGGACTCTCTTCGTGCTGCCAGTCCTACTGTCACGCGTCTCCTTGCTACTGCTGTCACTGACCCTTCCTTCGAGTCGTCTGCTGCGTCTGCCCTTGTCACTGAGCTTGTCGACTTTGCTGCGCGCTGTCGTCTAGACTACGCTGCTCGTCTTGTCGCTGAGTCTGAGTCCGCCTGTCCTCCGTCCGTCGGGGGTGAGTGTGCCCTTGGCACGGACGTCCTAGAGGACAGGCAGGAGGAGTTACAGTGTCTAGCGGCTGCTTCACCTCATCTCGCGTCTGTACTGCTTGCCCCTGAGGGAGACCCGGATGCACTAGACATCCCGACTCCGCGTTCTTACGCGGAGGCCGTAGAGGGTCCCTACTCCTCTCAGTGGCAGGCAGCTATGGATGCAGAGATGGCTTCCTGGAAGTCCACAGGCACCTACGTTGACGCGGTTCCCCCTCCTGGGGCGAACATCGTCAGTGGCATGTGGATCTTCAGGGTGAAGCGGCCGCCGGGCTCCCCGCCTGTCTTCAAGGCGCGTTACGTGGCTCGTGGCTTCAGTCAGCGGCAGGGAGTTGACTACTTTCAGACCTTCTCTCCCACCCCGAAGATGACCACTCTTCGGGTGCTGCTGCACATTGCCGCTCAGCGCGACTACGAGCTTCACTCTCTCGACTTCAGCACTGCGTTCCTGCAGGGTAGCCTGCACGAGGAGATCTTGCTGCGCCGTCCGCCTGGCTTCACTGGGACTTTCCCTCCTGGCACCCAGTGGAGCCTCCGACGGCCAGTCTACGGTCTCCGCCAGGCACCGCGTGAGTGGCACGACACACTGAGGACTACGCTTGCGGCTCTTGGGTTTGCTCCTTCTACTGCTGACCCGTCGCTGTTTCTTCGCACCGACACTTCCCTGCCGCCGTTCTACATCCTCGTGTACGTCGACGACTTGGTCTTTGCCACAGCGGACACTGCTGGACTCGCCTACGTGAAGTCCGAGCTGCTGAAGAGACACACGTGCACAGACCTGGGTGAACTGCGCAGCTACCTTGGCTTGCAGATCACTCGGGACAGAGCACGTCGCACCATTACCCTGACTCAGTCACACATGGTGCAGCAGGTCCTTCAGCGCTTCGGCTTCACGTACTCCTCGCCTCAGGCCACTCCTCTGCCTACTCGCCACTCACTCTCAGCTCTGCCTTCGGATGAGTCCGTAGAGTCGAGTGGTCCGTATGCAGAGCTTGTTGGCTGCCTCATGTACCTGATGACCTGCACACGACCTGACCTTGCATACCCTCTGAGCATTCTTGCACGCTATGTTGCTCCTGGGAGACACAGACCGGAGCACATGGCTGCAGCGAAGAGGGTATTGCGCTACCTGTGCAGTACGTCGGGCATGGGGCTAGTGCTTGGAGGGCGGAGTCCAGTGGTCCTTACCGGCCACGCGGACGCTTCTTGGGCTGACGACCAGGCTACGCAGCGGTCGTCACAGGGTTACACCTTCAGCCTTGGTTCCGGTTCTGTCTCGTGGCGGTCTACTCGCTCGTCTTCAGTTCTCGGCTCCAGTTGTGAGGCTGAGATCTACGCCGGGGCCATGGCTGCACAGGAGCTTCGCTGGCTCACCTACCTGCTGACCGACCTTGGAGAGCCGCCTCGTTCTCCTCCAGTGCTGTACGTAGACAACAAGGCCATGCTGGCCTTGTGTCGAGAGCAGCGCTTGGAGCACAGAACGAAGCACATTGCTCTCCGCTACTTCCTTGCTCGTGAGCTGCAGCAGCGTGGTCAGTTGCGACTTGCTTACGTGGCCTCTGAGGCCAACACTGCTGATGTGTTCACCAAGGCACTTGCGCCTTGTGACCATCAGCGCTTTTGTACCCAGCTGGGTCTTGTACCTGTCTTGCCTCACTTGCTCTCTTCTTGACTTTACTTGTACTTTGTTATATATATGTCTGTACTCCTGCATGTGAACTGGCCTCTGGCCCTGCTCTTGTGCTCGGACTGTGTGGTGACTTTGTGATCCACCCTGAGCTTGCTTTGCTTTGCTTTGCTTGACTGGTCTTGTGACCCCTTGTTCTCCCCCACTTTGCCTATGGGGGTGTGTCAGATTATTATGGCTGATGCATGTTTGTAGGCTATAGTGGGGTAGCACTTATGGGGTACAGTTTGCTAGGGTTGTATTTGTACCCAACTCTGACTTAGTCAATTCATTCCTGTTCTGTTAGTTTCACAGTCCGGACACAAGCATGCGTCCGGACACAAGCATGCGACCGGACTCAAGCATGCGTCCGGACACAAGCATGCGTCCGGACACAAGCATGCGTCCGGACACAAGCATGCGACCGGGCACAAGCATGCGTCCGGACACAAGCATGCGTCCGGACACAAGCATGCGTCCGGACACAAGCATGCGACTAGACACAAGCATGCGTCCAAACACAAGCATGCGTCTGGACACAAG